TGTCTACACAGTTTTTAAAACATTATTTATAAAAAACGACCAGAACCTTGTATATATTGAAGAGGATGTTAAAAAAATAGTATTCTGAAGAAATATAGAGAATTATAAGTGAATTCATGATAATTGTTGTTTGAGTTGGTGTCTTAATTTTTGTTTTAATTCATTTTAAGTGTTTTAAGTTGTTTTGAATTTTTATTGTATTTTACTTTTCTTTTGAACATATTTTGGGTATAAAAAGGTGCAGATATTATAAGATTTATTCTTCTTCTGCATCCTTTCATTCCATTTGATTTCATTTTGATTGTATGTTTTTTTGAACTTTGTTAATTTTGTATTACAAATGAAACGAATAAACTACTGCTACTAAAAAATAATAAAAACCGAAAACCTTTGACAGATCACTGGATTATAGAAACGTTGTTTTGGTCGTGTTGTTGTTGTTTACACACAGCCTGTCAACAAACAGTGTTTCCATGTTGTAGTGCTCCGGTCGTCCTGCAGGTGGCAGTCTGCTCTCAAACAGAACATAAAGGAACTGGTGAAAAAAGTCCAACTTGCCCTCAGTTGTCTGAGCCTCACGTCATGGAAAGAGTCACTTTGTTACAGCTTGTTAAGGAATACGGTTATAGAGAAAAACAACGTGCTTCGTGATGTGTGTCGACACCTTGGAGAGGCTTTGCTCCTCGCTCCGGATCGTAAGGATCGAGTGAAGATGCGCAGCAGGAAAACACAGCAAGTTTCAGTCTGAGGGAATGCGGTGCAGGCTGAAAAACAATGCACTGGCAAACAATCACTCTCCCCGCCGTCTGTGTTTCGTCTTTCTGCGTGAATCTCTTCTGGAAATGTGTTCATCACGAGCATCACTAAAGGATTAAAACGGCTGTCGGTGCTTTTGGAGGAGCATTTTGGTGAAAACGGGTTTTTTTTTTGTTTGTTTCTGAACCTGTTTGTAATGTGAACGTAGGAAAAATAGTTCTTTGTGACGAAGAAGGTGATGCTATAGCTGAAAGTTTGTTAGGCAGTTAGGGACAATAAAATAGAGCAGGATCCTGAATGGGCTGTAAATGTCTAATCCATTTTTGGTGGATAGACGAACGTTTTTGTTAGTAGGCTATTAAATTTATTGTGTGTTTGCCCTCCTGATTCAACGTCACACAACTTCAGATTTGCTTCAAGTATTGTAATCCAGTGGTTAATCTTTTGATACAGCATGCTCTAATTATGTCCCACCAGTCTAACATGGACACCATGTTCATTTAGTTTATGGTTTAGGACCCATTTGAGTACCAAGATGTCAGTGAAAGGTGTTGCCCTTTATACTTTCATAAGTGAAAACAAAGAGGAGATTAGCATCCAAGAGAATGAGGAAGTGCTTATCTTCGATGAGAACTCGGTGGATGGCTGGTTCCGAGGGGAGAACACCCGAGGGGAGAGGGGTCTATTCCCTGCATCCTACGTGAAGGTTATTCGCACCAGATCCAACTCTAACGTGACTGACTGCTCCATAAGCCCAGAAGGCTCTCTAGGAAATGACTCCTCCTACTTCCTGTCCACCCCAAACACCTCACTTAACTCTGGGCGGATTTACGATGAAGACGATTACGACGACTGGGATGACTGGGACGATGGGTCTACAGTTGTGGAGGATGGTGATAACACTAGGGGTCCTGGAGCCAATGGACATGCATATCAGACCCAACTGTCGAACAACCCCAACGTACACTACAGGAGCAAATCAGCTTCAGGACAGGATGGCATGTCCAGCTCAAGGAAGGGCAGTGTGGTGGGAAGAAACTTGAACAGGTTTTCCAGCTTTGTCCGCTCAGGAGTAGAGGCGTTTGTGCTTGGTGACGTCCCCATGATGGCAAAGATTGCCGAATCGTATACTATTGAGATGGGTCCCCTGGGGCCTCGATGGAAGGAGAACCCACAGCCTTTCACCTGCTCCATTGAAGACCCCACCAAACAGACAAAGTTCAAGGGTATTAAGACCTACATATCGTACCGGGTCACGCCGAGCCACACGGGGAATCCTGTCTACAGGCGCTACAAACACTTTGACTGGCTTTATAACCGTCTACTGCACAAGTTTACTGTGATCTCTGTGCCTCACCTCCCTGAGAAGCAGGCTACGGGCCGATTCGAGGAAGACTTCATTGAGAAGCGTAAGCGGCGACTAATACTGTGGATGAACCATATGACAAGTCATCCAGTCCTCTCCCAGTACGAAGGCTTCGAGCACTTTTTGATGTGCACTGATGATAAGCAGTGGAAACTGGGAAAGAGGCGAGCGGAGAAGGACGAGATGGTGGGCGCTCACTTCATGTTGACCCTCCAAATCCCCAGTGAGCACCAGGACCTTCAGGACGTTGAGGAAAGGGTAGACAACTTCAAGACGTTCGCCAAGAAAATGGACGACAGCGTGATGCAGCTCACGCACGTTGCCTCAGAGCTGGTGCGAAAGCACCTGGGTGGATTCAGGAGGGAGTTCCAGAGACTAGGAAACTCCTTCCAGTCCATCAGCCAGTCGTTCACGCTGGACCCGCCCTACAAGTCGGACGCACTCAACAACGCCATTTCCCACACGGGCCGCACCTATGAAAACATTGGAGAGATGTTTGCAGAGCAACCAAAGTACGACCTCTTTCAGATGCTGGATAAACTTTCCCTCTATCAAGGACTGCTTGCAAACTTCCCTGACATCATTCATCTACAGAAAGGTAACATTTTCATAATAAGTAATGAATAATCCAATGTTCTTATGCATATGAACTCTGTGCTTCTTGTGTCACAATGACTCATTAGGGCACACATGAAAAATACACAGTTCTGTTGAAATGTGGGGTCTGAGGATATGGTTATGGCAGTTGGGGTCTTTATAAAGTGGAACTACAATCTTTGATCTGAACTCCTCCTTATTCTAACCTTACCAGCCCCTCTTTCACCCCTTTTCTGCTGTATTTCTCAAAGCAGCTGGTTTTGATACTGTCCAGCTTCCAGATCAGTCCACTCCAGCTTGAGAGAAAGGCTTAGTGTTTTCAAGCAGTGCAGAAGCTTTTTATTTACAATTTATTCAAACGATGTGAGCAACAGAAGACTTGTCCATCCAGCCTCACAGGTCGGAGCCAGACCAGTGTTGTATAAAGTACCTCAGAGTGATACTTGAGTAAAAGTACAAGTATCTTATCATAAAAATACTTTGGTCAAAATTAAAGTCTTCTCTAAAAATGTTACTTGAGTAAAAGTTATAAAGTATCTGACATTTTTTGTATTTAAGTATCAAAAGTAAATTTCTGGCACAAAATCTACTTAAGTATTAAAAGTAAAAGTACTGAGTAAAAGTGAGCAGTTAGATTTTCCAAAATGACATTTATTGGGAGGTGACTTCTCAAAAGTATTTTTTTTCTAACAGCATGGAGCTGTGATGGGTTGTGTACAAATTAATAGTGTGTCAGAATGGTAAATACTGTATTTATTCATGTATAATAGAAATTTAACCCTAAAAATCATCCATAAAGTGGGGAAGTAGTATTATACACGGGATATTGATAATTAGATTTTTAATCCTTTTTAGCTCAAAAAATGATGATCGTATTATACATGAATAAATACGGTATTTATACTTCTTATCCAACCACAATTAAATTCACTGTCCAGGAGACACAGTTTATCAGGATAGTTTTTTAAGTAACAACAACTCAGAATAAAACAGGAGTAACAACTTTCTACTTCTTAACTTTTTTAAAAAATGTAGTGAGTAGAAAGTACAGATAATTGTGTAAAAGTGTAATGAGTAAAAGTAAAAAGTACGCTGAAAAATAATTACTCAAGTACAGTACAGATACCTAAAAATTCTACTTAAGTACAGTAACAAAGTATTTGTAATTAGTTATTTTACAACTCTGAGCCAGAGTCTGACCCAGAACCAGAGTCTGACCCAGAACCAGAGTCTGACCCAGAACCAGAGTCTGACCCAGAACCAGAGTCTAACCCAGAGCCAGAGTCTGACCCAGAGCCAGAGTCTGACCCAGAGTCAGAGTCTGTCCCAGAGCCAGAGTCTGTCCCAGAGCCAGAGTCTGATCTAGAACCAGAGTCTGAGCC